AAAAAGAATTAAAAAAAAAAAAAAAGCCAGTGCAGGAGCCAGCCTGTGGCATTAAGGCAGCTGGCTCTACATAGCTGACTATGAGGTTCAAGTCCCAGCCCTGACATCTTGAGAAATGCACTGGGAATGTGTGCTTGCGTGTCCAAAATCTTGAAGGAGAATGGAGGAGAAGAGATTGCAGTGTGGCCAGTCCCCCTGGGGGTGCTTCTCACTTTCCCTCTCTCTGTCTCTGTCTCTCTCTAGTGAGTGCATGCACTCTGTGGTGAAATTAGAAAAAGCAATGCATTGCAGTTGTCAAAAAGGTTAAAAAAAAAAAAAGAAGTGTTGATGACCAATGATTTTGACGTGTCTACACATATATACATACTCCGTGTATATGGAGCTTTAACAGTGCTGGTGAAAATGTTGGTGAGTACACACTTTTAAAGAGGAGACTTTGTAAATGTAGAGGCAGGTAGGAATCATAATGGAAAAGTCTTATAGACTTACACACCAAACATACCGAGAGAGTCCATGAATGTTAAAATGGAAAAATACCAGAGATTTCCAATGGACTTCCAGTCTTTTTTTTAATGGCCATGCCACAATCCTTTCTCCATTTTCTTCTTGGGATTTCAGCCATGCATGCTCCTGCATCTAGCATAAATTTTAAGCTGCCAGGTCCAGGACTCAAACTGTGGTCAGACTTGTGGGAGTCCAGATCCCTAATCACCAAGCCACCTGCTAACCCCCAGAGTTAATATTCTTAATGTACAAAATCTTCTCTGTTGTGTGTACACATGCGTTGTATGTGAGAGATGGGCTCTGCAGGAAGAACTAAGAAAATCTCCAAACCTCCCAGTGCTCGGAGAAATGCAAATTCGAACAGGATGCCCTCCGCGTCTCCAATAGGCAAATGTTGAAGGTACAAGGTGACCCCGGACATGGGACCTTCCAGCAGGCAGTTTCTGCTGAGCCCCTGCTGAGTCCCTCCTGTAGCCGGCTCCTCCCAGGCAGGAGCCCTCTGAGAAAACAAGCTGAGCGAAGCCCCTGCTTGCATGGGCCTTGCGCTCCAGAAACAGAGACTTACTGTCACAACTGAGAGGTCTCTACACGTTGCCAAATGTGCTCTGGACGTCAAAATCGCCCCCAGCTGGGAAACACACACACACGTAGTGTGGTCCCAATTCTGTAAAAAACAGCACGTACACCACACACACACACACACACACACACACACACCTATGTAGAGTAAAAAACACTGGGAGAGCGACCGGCAGATGGCTTAATGGTTACATTGCTTGACTCCCACGTAGTTGTCTTAGTTCGAGTCCCAGATCCAGTGACTTAAATTCACACCAGGCATGTGTGCAGGAGCGTGCCCACGATCCTAAGAGGAGAATGGAGAAGGGATTGCGGAGTGGTCATCCCCCCCACTCCCGGGGGGTGATTTTTGCTTTCTGTCTGTGTCTCTCTGGCAAGCACATGCCCCCTTTAGCAAAAATCTCTCTAAAAAAAATTGGGAGAAGAATAACAAAGTACTGAAGTGGTTATCCTGGGTTTTGTCACAATAGTTGGTTTTTTCCCTTTATGTTTGTCCTATGCTTTTCAAGTGTGAATAATTTTACTTTTAAGCATTATTTTATGAAGCAATTTCTCTCCAAATAGATTTTTAAACATGAAATTTATGTCTTTATTCCCTAGGAGAAGTTCTACTTGATAACACTTCACTGTTCTTGTACTGTTGCGTTTTCGTATCTCTATTCATAACTAAACTGTTTTTCTCTTTTATTTGTCAGTTTTTTTGTGTCAGAACATATAATCTATGTCTAAAATTAATTGAGTCATCAACAGAATTAGCTGTTCCTTTCTTTTGAAAGAACGATCCAGTTAAATTCTGGTGCTCAGAACGAGTTCTTGGAGATAATTGCTTTTTTCAAAGCACTTTCAGCCGTTTCCTCGCTTATAGGACATTACGATTCTCCCCTTCTCAAGTCCAGTTGGACTCTTTTTTTCCCATTGGGTTATCCATTTCAAAATATTTATGTTTATTAAGTAGGATATATGTAAAAATAGTTTATAATTTGTCATAGCCACCAAATCTATGGTTATTTAATCTTTCTCATTGTATTAATCTTTTCTATTTATTAGTTACATTTTTCAAGAGATCTATCCTTTTGGAACCATCTAGTAGCATAATGGTTGGGGTGGCTGGATCCGACATGGCCAACTGTGCAGTTCAAATCCCATATCCAGTGGCTTAAAAGTCACACTGGGTATGTGCATGCCCAAACTCCCAAGAGGAGAAGGGAGGAGAAGGAAGTGCAACGTGGCCATCGTCCCTGGGGTGATTTCTCACTTCTTCTCCGTCTCTCCCCCTCCCCCAGTAAGCACTATTTTGTCCTATAGCAAAACTAAAAGCAAAAACAAAAAACAAAGAGATTTGTCCTTTTATACTGATTTATTTCAAAAGAACTATCCCTTCAAGGGACCAGCAGTTAGGGTAATGGCTATGTCGCTGGACTCCCACGTAGTCGACTGTGGCTCAAGTCCCGGAGCTGGTGGCTTAAACTTCACGCCCGGCACGTGTGCGTGCCCAAGATCCCGAGAGGAGAATGGAGGAGAAGGGATTGTGGCGTGGCCATCCCCCCAGGGGGTGATTTCCTGCTTTCTGTCTCTCTGTCTCTCTCTGTCTGTCTGGCAAGTGCACGTGCCCTATAGCAAAAAACTCTCCAAAAAAAAAAAAAGAACTATCCCTTCAATATACTGACTAGTTCTTCGTTTTCCCATTTTCTCCTTAATATATTTTCTTTAGGTTTGTTCTGTTCCTTAGGGTCTTCACATCAATACTTAGGTCAGTTCCTTATTTTTATTATTTTAATGATAAATTCTTATTATTTTCTATTACAGGTAATTTCTAAAGGGGCTGCTAACTGACTTCACATATCTATACTTTCTTTCTTCTTCTTTTTTTTAATAGACCATAGATTAGTTTATTTTTAACACCCATCATGCCATGAATCCATAGGGAACAGGTTCCAGTAGCTCAGGCTCCTTTCCATTGGCTCTCACACAGTGGCTTCTCTGGGTGGAGCAGGCTGGCGCTTCATTGAACCCAGGTATCTTTCTCTTCGGCTTCCTTCTTTTTTCTGGTCATTTTCCTTCACACGTTTTAGGAAGCTATCTCTGCTCTTAGAATGCTTAATATGCTCAATATGCACATTAATTTTCTTGGCAAGAATCTTGCCCTTGTTCACAACAATGCCAACAGCATGCTGGGTAACATTGTAGACTCTTCCAGTTTTGCCATGGTAACGTTTGTGGGGCATTCCTTTTTGAACAGTACCCATGGCCTTGATGTCTACAATATCACCTTTCTTGTAGATTCGCACATAATGTTGCCAAAGGAACCACTCCATGTTTTCTAAAAGGCCTAGAGAACATATATCGGGTGCCTCTCCTCTGTGTTCGTCATTCTGGTGAATTACTGGAAGATGGTGGTTCCAGCCAAAAGGAAAGGTTCTTCTTTTTTTAAAAGAATTATTTTAATTTAATTGTATTTGTTGTCATTATTTCATTTTAATTTTTTGATGTTGACCAGAGAGAGGCAGAGAGAGAGAAGGAAAGTGACAAAGCAGGCTGCCAGGTCCAGGACTCAAACTATGGTCAGCCATGTGAGAGTCCAGCCGCCTTTACCACCATGCCACCTGCCAGCCCCATGTTTTTCCTTTCTTCTTTAGTAAGAAAGTTCAATGCTACCTATTTTAAAAGTCCACATTTCTCAGCCTTCCCTACAGCCATGAGAATCACTAGAATGTTTCTATTCATGATACTGTCAGATACGCACGTATATCAGATTTGGCCAGCCAGACATGGTGGTTAAGACACTGGATCTAATGTGACTAACTTCTCAGTTCGAGTCCCTGTCCTGGCAGCTTGGAAAACAAGCCAGGTGCATGCGTGTGTGCCCAAAATCTCGAGAAGAGAGTGGAGAAGGGATTGCAGCATGACCATCCCCTTGGGAGTGATTTCTCATCCCCTCTCTCTCACAAGCACATGCACCTGAACCAAAACCTTTATATACTTATATATCAAATTTCCTCCCTATACACTTAGAAAATCCCCACTTTAATCTTTATAAATTCACCAGTGTTCTCTTCTAGCACTGTTATTTCTATTATGTTGAAATCGTTAGTCATAATCACTCTTTTCCTTTAAAGTCTTTGGCCATGGTGATGTATTTGCTTCTCAAGACACATGTTAGAATAGTTTTTCTATTTGTCTACAAAGACCTATTAGGATTTTAATTGACTTTGCTTTAATTTGGGAGTCAGTTGAACCTTTCTGTAATCTTCCCATTCAGGACTTTGATTTAATTAATTAACTAATTTAGTCTCCATTAATTTAAGCTTTCTCCCTTCAGTAGAGTTGGCACATTTCTTTTTCCTTGTTTAGGTTTTTGTCATAGGGCAGTATGCTCTGCGGAGGGAAACACAGAGAAAGTGAGAAATCACTCCCCCCCCCAGATGGCCACCCCACAGTCTCCTCTTGGGATTGAGCATGCACACACACACACCCAGTGTGATTTTTCAAGCCACTGGATCTGGAACTCAAACTGTGGTTGGCCATGTGGGAGTCCAGCTCCTTGACCACCACGCCACCTGCTGGCCCCTATGCATTTCTATACCGTGAAGGCGACATTTGGCCATCCTGTGTCCAGCTGCTGACGGTCTGTGAGAACCACTGCCGAGGTGTGACAGTGCAGGCAGCCTTCCCGGGAGAGTCACTGCGGTCAGTCCTCTTCCTGCAGTCCAGTACCTGGAGAGAGCGTGAAGCCTATTTGAGGGGGCCCCTGAGTTACGAAGTGGTGGGGACGATTCAGTTCCAAGAGCTTTGGCCATACCGCCTCCTGAGGGATGCCAGACCAAAAAAGAACGTGAGATTCGTGTATTAGAGATCTTCGAGAAGTTCATGGAAAGTGCGTGTTATGAAAAAACTGCATGGATTTTACAATTTTTCACATCAAAATAAAATGATATGTTAATGTGTTAATTCCATTTTTTTCTGCAAACTTGTTGAAGCACCTTTGTATATAGTTTTTAAAAATTAGCCAAAATTCCTCAAGATGGAAGACACGAGGACAGTGGTTACCCTTGGGGCAGAAGTGGTGACAGGAAGAATGAGGACCGTCAGGGGACCCACCCATGTCCTGTCTCTTGACTTGGGACCTCTGCTGGGTCCCACCTTTATACCTAGGGAAGGGCATCTATGCAAAGCCCGCCCCTCAGTCACACTCGTGAGGAAATAGCGAACAAGGAGGTGAGAACAAAGCGAGGATGTCTGTTCCCACCACTGCTGTCGGCTTTACACCAGAGCCCTCATCGGTAAGGCAAGACAGAGAAAGCAGGTGACACGTTAGGTATGTAGAAGACCCAAGGAATCTTTTTTTTTTTTTTTTGAGAGATTTTCACTATAGGGCGCGTGTGCTCGTCAGACAGAGATTGAGAGACATAGAGACAGAAAGCGAGAAATCACCCCCCAGGAGGGATGGTCACGCCGCAATCCCCTCTCCTCCATTCTCCTCTCGGGATCTTGGGCACACACGCACATGCGCCCAGAGTGAGTTTTAAGCCACCAGGTCCGGGATGCAAACCACGGTCGACTACGTGGGAGTCCAGTGACATAGCCATTATGCTAACTGCTGGTTCCCAAGACCCAAGGAATCTTAACAAAAATTACTATTAGCCAAGCATATTAAGGTTGCAGGATATAAGGCTGATTTTCTAAAATTCATTGTATATCTACGTATTGAAAGTACAGAATGAGAAAAAGAAGTAAATTAGTAAGTGCGATAACACTTACTAATGACCATACGTAAAATGCGTAGGCGCACCTTTAACCAAAGGCGTGCGTGTCCTCTACAGCAAAAACTCCACGCCGTTAGTGAGGGGGTTAGAGAAGGCCTGAACAAACGGAGAGCTACGCCCACGTTGGCCTGTTTGACGTCAGTACTGCCGAGGTGTCGCTTCCTCCAAAACTGACCTGTGAGTTCAACACAAGCTTAATTAATATCCAACAGATTTTCTTTTGTAGAAATTGCCAGTTCTCAAAGTTATTAGGAGATTCGAGAGATCTAGAAAGCTAACATAATCTTGAAAAAGAAGAAGTCAGAGGATTCGCAGTACCTGGCTACCATAGTTACCAGAAACCTACAGCAATCAAGGTAGTGTGGACAGAAGGGCAGGAAAAAAATAGATCAGCGCCGGCTTCGTGCTTGGTTAAGAAAGCAGGTCTCACATGGCAACCTTGTGGTTCAAGTCCCAGTAGTTAAGGGACATGCCATGCATGTGTGTGCATGTCCCCAAATCCCAGTAGCATGCAGAAATGGAAGAGAAGGGATTGCAGTGTGACTACGCCCCCGTGGAGGGTGCTCTCTCCCTCTATCTCTCCCTCTATCTCTCTCTCTCTCTCTCAGTTGATTGCATG